TCTGTTTTTGGTTAAAAAAATAAAAATCAAATTTAATAGGCAGTGAAAAAGATTTGACTATTGTACAAAAAAGGAGCCATTATCTATGGTTATTTTAGAAAAGATTCATATTGTATTATTGCTGAATATTGGCTATAAGAAATCTTCTGTAAGAAATATTATAGATAAGTATCATAAGGCAGAAACCACTAAACTGCAAAGAAAATATTTTGAACATCTGCTACTCCTTACTGCTTCCGATCACTCTACCCTTAAAATTCTTGTAACTAATGAAAACCATTATTTAACTGGCCCTCTAGTTCCATTAGTTAATAATATTACTGGGACTTCATATATTGAGATTTTGTACAAATATACCATACCCACTTTAAAAAAATATCTGAAAAATGCAGATTGTGATCATCCTTTATTTTAACAAGATAATGTAAGACTCCATGTTTTAAAAATTACCACTATATTTTTTAAAAATCACAAGATTAGGATATTAAACTAGCCTGCCCAAAGTCTTAATTTGAATCCTATCAAAAACCTTTGGCATGAGGTCAAAATGTTTGTGTATCACAAACCAAAGCCTAATAACCTTGTTGATCTTGAAATTCTTATTAAACAAGCCTGACAAAATGTTTCACTAGAAATTTGTTGCTGATTAGTGAATAGTATACTAGATCTTATTGCAGCTTGCATTGCTACTGATGGAGACCTACAAAATACTAAAACTTAATATTAGCTTTGAATTTTTTTTTTCTTTAATTTGTAATTTCAGTTTGATTATAATTTGTAGCATGAAAGTTTATTGATTATAAAATTCCAAGTGAATTATTACAATTACATGAAATTTAAATATAATATACTTTAACTTATTATAAAAATATTTATTTAGTATAATAAAAAGTGTTCACAATAATATGGATATCTTTTGTATATAAATTTATACTTTGGAATTACATATAAATAGGTATTAAAAAAAATAATACCTCAAGGTATAATTATTACAGAAAGATATATAATATATAAAATTATACTTTGGAGTATCAACAGATATGTTAACAATTCAGCACTATATGCCTTATCATTGGATACTTTAGTATATTATCAGATATGATAACAATTTGGCACTATGTGCCTTATTATCAGATGCTTTTATATATCACTAAATAGGAATAACAATTCAATATTATATGTATCATTGGATGCTTTAGATATTATCAAATATGTTAATGATTCGACACTACATGCCTTATCCTCGATCGATATTTGAATGCAACATACAAAACCAGAATATGAATACTATTTTGGTACTACATGCCTCAAATCTGGCCCTTATCGAGAAATTAATCAGAAAGCTAGAGCACTACATGTCCAGTTCAGACATAGTCCTTACATTGGATCCATAAATAGTAATATATAATTGAATGCATTATTATTATATTTTTTTGCTCATGTGATCCAATAACAGAAATTGGCCATCAGTTATAATTACCAAACTGTACATATATTATATCATATATAACCTGACATACAAAATGTGCCACCTTGGTATATGTTATAAAAAACAAAATACATATTACTTGAGCATATCCTAAAATATAAAACTTATGTCATATTAGTACATATCTCAGTGATTCTTAATCAGCAATACAAACTTAACCTATATAGTACTTGATATATAGACTATAATAGTTTCGGGTATATGTTACAATTCAATTTTTAGGTCATACTCGAGAGTATCACATTTTGTATTTTACAACACATACATAAATTTATTATAGTTTAATCTAAATTGTTTGTAGTTTATATAAATTACAGATAATTTTTAATTTTAATTTATAACAAAGATTTCATAAAGTAGAAAGGTTTCCAATTCATTTATCCAATCAGCAAATAATTGTTTTTCAAGATATTGATGAATTAACTTCAATTTTGGAAAAAAATATACATACTAAATTAATAAAATATTTTGAAATATGTGTAAACAATCTTGATATTGATGAAATTTAGAATTTAAAATATACTGATTTTCCCAAATATTTTATTTGAAAAAATAATAATTGATATAAAAAAAAAAGGGTGGTGAAAAAGTAAATTTTTGATTTTATTTTGTCAATCCAAAAGATAAAAATAGATTTTATTTGAGAATGTTATTAAATATTATTTCTGAAGCAACTTCATTTAATAATATAAAAACAATTTATGGAATAAAATATAATACTTTCAAGAAAATTGCATATCAACTTGGTTTAGTAGACAATGATGATAAATGTAATATTTGTCTTTCTAAAGTATCAATATATCAGATATTATTATAATTAAAACAATTATTTGTTACTATCTTATTATATTGTTAACCTACAAATATTTAAACTCTTTGAAATAATTATATTGCTGTTATAATTAAAGTTTTTATTAAAAAAGGTGATGATTAAGATACAAACATTTCAAAAGCATTAATTAACATTAAAAGATTTTTGATTCAAAATAGAATGACCTTGACAAATTTTTCAGATCTTCCAAAACCTGATTATTCATTACTTAAGAATAATTAAAATTTATTAATTGTTGAAGAACAAAATTATAATCAAGATGAAATTCAACAAATTTTATAACATCTTGATAAATTAAATAGTAATTAAAAATTAATTTTTGATATTATTATAAAAGCAATTAATAATGAAATTGATCAAAATGCTTTTTTTATTGATGGATTTGAAAGAACTGAAAAACTTTTCTTTACAATATAATTCTGACATAAGTAAGATTATCAAGTGGTTTGAATAAAATTGCAATTGCTATAGCATTTTCAAAAATTGTGATATCATTAATGAGTGGTGGAAAAACTATCCATTCAAGGTTTAAAATTTCATTAAAGTTAGAAAAAACTACTACTTTAACAATTGACAAATAATAAAAACTAGCCAATTTAATTAAAATTTCCAAAATTATTTTATAGGATGAAGCATCAATAATACATCAATATATTTTTGAAGCAGTTGATAGAATATTCAAAGATTTAACAAATGTGAACAAATTATTTGATGGCAAAATTATTATTCTTGATGGTAATTTTAGATAAATATTACTAGTTATTATAAGAGGTACTTAGAAACAAATTGTTAATGCATGTTTAAAATCTTTTATTTTTTGGAAAAATATTCAAAACATACAATTAACAATTAATATGAGAGTTTAGCAACAAAACAATATTAAACAAAAAGATTTTATTGATTTTTTATTAAGAGTTGACAAAAGAGAAGAGCCTATATATTCTGATATTGATAAAGATATTATAAGATTACTTGATAATTTAATTCTTGATAATGAAAATCTTGATAAATTAATATTACAAATTTTTTATAATCTTAATTCAAATTATCAAAATAAAAATTATCTTAAAAATAGAGTAATTCTTATAACAAAAAATATAAATGTAGAAAAAATCAATCAATAAATACTTGAACTTATTTCTAATGAATTATTTAAATTTTTATTTGCTGATTCAGTTAAAGATAAAGAAACTGTTGATCAAAGTCTTTATTCTCCAGAATTTTTAAATACTCTTATATTAAGTGGGATATCTTTTCACAAATTAATATTTTAAAAAAATATTTCTGTTATATTATTGTATAATCTTAGTCCATCTGAAGGATTATGTAATGGTATCAGATTAATAATTAAAGGATGTTAACAACAATTAATTGATACAGAAATCTTGACAGAAATTAATCAAGAAAAAAGAGTTTTTTATATTTTAAGTAAGATTAACATCAACAGATACAAATCTTCTATTTTAATTTATCAAATAATAATTTTCATTTAAATTATCTTTTGCAATAACTATAAATAAAGCTTAAGATCAAATAATTACAAACATGGGATTATATTTACCCAAACCTGTTTTTACTTATGAACAGTTATATATAGCTTTATTAAGAGTTCAATCAAAAGATAATATTAAAATTTTAGTTAAAAATAGACATGTTGATAAAAAAGAAGGAATTTATACCAAAAATATTGTATATAGAGAAATATTTTTTAAATAATATTATATAGAAAAATATTTTTTTAAATAGTATTATATAAAGAAAAATATTTCCTAAATAATAAAATTTAATAATATATTAATTTGCAATAGTTTATTATATTATAATAATAAAATAATTTACAACAATTTATTATATTATAAAATAAAAAGATTTGTAATAATTGGAATATAATGATAATAATAAAATAAAATTGAAAAAATAATTAATTTTGAAACACATAAAATATTAAAATATTTTTATATTATTTAAAATTTAAAATTTGATATTATATCAATATAAAAATTAATATAATAAATTAAATTCTTTAATTTCAAAGTATTATTAAAATTTATTATTATAATTATTTATATTTAAAATTTATTACATTTTAACATATAAAATAATCTAGCATGTTTAATCCCGGAGCATAGCCCGGGCTAACGAGCTAGTACTGAACATATATTTGCCTAATTTATGAGAGTATGCAAGAGAAGCCTGTGGATATTATATTCACCATTTTATTAAGTAAATTCTCGAGAAAGATACAATGTCGGACTTCAAAGGGTTATCACAATACACGAATATTAAAAGCTTCACTTCAATTGTCCGTAATATTATAATTGTCGATTTACTGCTTAACTCATTGGATATCAAATTTACTAGTTCCAATTTTGAAACAAAATGTTGATTCCGGATCATAAAGTCAATCGACTTCGGTTAAATCTTTAAATAGGTGGAAATAGGTGATGTTTTTAAACTTTATTAATGTTTCATTTTTTTATATAATGCTATTTGAAAAGTTCACGTGGTGACTATTCTATTTATGTTCCCCTGAGGAAAAAAAATTATTTTTTAACGTTCAAAATGTCAATGATATATCGATCGCCAAATATGGAACTATATCCCGCAGACTTAATCCAGTATATTACTTTAATTTACAAAAAGTGAAATATAAAATGTCAATAAATTGATCCCAATTAATCAAGAAGACACGTGTCTGATTTTTAACTTTTTCTTCACTCCTAAATTTTCATCCACAGAAGAATCCCCAAGTGTTTTATCCAACTCCATTGTTAACGCGACGACCTGTCGATCCAGAGATTCCTTCTCCTTTCGTACTCCAGCAAGTTCATTTTCTAAATATCTAATTCTTTGATACAGATCATCTTTTGTTTCTTTGTTTTGCATTAATTTCGCATTGGCATTTGCAAGAAGATTGTTTTGTGCTACGAGTTGTTCGATGTGATTTCTAAGATCCCTTATCTGATTCTCGTAATCCTTGATCGATAATGATTCGTTATTCAGCGTAGAATTATCTAGTGACTTTAACTTTTGATTGAGACCCGAGATCCCTAAATATTCCGGTGAATTCTTCTCAGAGAGGATTCCAGAAGCTTGTGAAAATTTAACTTGATTTTTGGGGTTTTCCGGTTCTCCAACATTTATCATACGTCCTACTGATGCGTTAATCTTTTCAAGAGTTCGAACCTTCTCTACCAAAAAATCTATCTCTCGATCTTTGGTTTCATTATCAAGGCCAAGTTTCGTGATTTCCAATTGAAGCGTAGAATTTTGGTTCGACAGAAATTTTACATTGTTTCTCAAGGATTCAAATTCCATTTGAGTCGCAGAGTGAATCTGAGATTTCAAAT